GCCGCCGCCCCGCGTCGCCCGCCGCCGCCGCCCCCACAGGTAAAGAGCTCCGGCCCCGATCAGCAGCGGCGCCCCCACCGCCAGGGCCACCTGCCAGCGCGGCAGCCCCGAGCCTGTCCCGCCGCCGCCGGAGCCTCCGCCCGCAGCGGCCTCCACGGGCTTCGAGGCCGCCATGATCCCCCCCGCCGCCGCCTCGGCTTCCAGCGCCACCTGCTCCAACACCAGCGCGAACCCGGGAGAGCGAGGGGTCAACGGAAGCCAGGGGCATAACGGGAGAAAGGGGGCTCGGGAAGCTTCCGCCCTCCGCAGACCTTCCGAGAGCAAGCCCTGGCTGCAGCGCCACCGGCTGGCCGAAGGCCGTCGGCGCAGACACGCACAGAGCCAGGGGAGAGCGAGCGAGCGAGCGAGCTGTCGAGCCGCCCGCTGGCCGAACATGAAGTGAGCAGAGTCACCCCTTGTATCGTACAGGGAGCGGGATGGCGAGAATCGTGGAGAGATGAACAAATAATAAGGCATCTCTTATCATTAGTCATAAATGTAGTTTTTAACAAAATAACGGAGCAAGCAAATCTCATTCTGGAAACAGCAGTGTATTTCTCCATGCTGGCACGATTAACCTGCTATTTAATTGCAATGGAACACATGAAGCCCTCATACTGAACCAGACCATTGGTCCATCCGAGTCGGTACTGTCTACTCAGAACAGCAGTGTATTTCTCCATGCTGGCACAACCTGCTATTTAATTGCAACGGAACACATGAAGCCGTCTTATACTGAACCAGACCATTAGTCCATCCGAGTCGGTACTGTCTACTCAGGCTGGCAGCGGCTCTCCAGGGTCTCAGGCTGACGTCTTTCACATCACCTGCTGCCTGGTCCTCTTGACTGAAGATGCTGCCAAGCAAATGCACAAGCACTGAGGCACAGACCATTCCACTGTAAGGAGACTTGGAGTTCTGTCCTGTCTATGCAACTTGTGGCCTGCCAGGCCAACTCCGTCCCCCGTCCCCCCCAGGCAGACAGTAGTTACAGAACTTTTTCTTAAGCCAATGGCTGGCAGGGTTGTGTTCTGCTTGGTAGGTAGAGTGATGCAAGGGAGTCAGGTGGTCCTTTGGACCTCTCTGTTAGATTCTCTGGTTTGGTGTGGCCAGGAACCATTAATAAGTTTGCAGCGTGCACAAAGCTGACCATGCAGCAAAGCTTCTCTAGGCTGGGGGTGTGTGTGCTGATAAGAACAAAGTTACACAGATCCTCTTTAATAATTTCAAACTAATATGAGTATTTATAGAACTCCATTCTAGACAGGAAAGAGTAGAGACAGGATAGTAGCCTAATCTAACTGACTAGGATGGATGCAAATACAGAAAACATGTCCTGCATCCATAATGCCATGATGGAGATAGCAATGTGTGTGAGCGAAGGTGTCAGAACAGAAATGAAGGAAGTTCTTCCCTAAGAATAGCATTCTACTTCAAAGGGATAGTATCAGATAGTAGAAGGAAAGGATGCTCTGTGTGTCCTGACCTCTCTATCTATGGTAGCCCCCTCTGAATGCTGAGGCAAAGAGACAGTGTACTGTCTTTGACTTCCAACATAGTCCTGCCTCTCCCCAACCCGCTGTAATGAGTTAGATTCTGGATGTGCTGCATAGCTAACAGACAGGGAAGGAAAATAGAAGAAAACTGGGAAGACTCCATAGCTGGTGAGTCTCTTTGACTGGAGAACTTAAAGATTTAGCAGCAATCTCCAAGATGCAACCTGGCAATCACAAATTATCTAGGCCTAGTCTTAATGTGTCTATAATCAGAGTGGCCAAGTATTTAATCGTACAATGGACTGTAGCCACCATAATGGCCACAGAGGAACACTGGCTCAGTGGCAGAGCATCTTCCTTGTATGCAAAAGGTCAACACATTAAATCCCTCACATTTCTAGTATAAAGGTTCATGTAATTGATGGGAAAGATGTCTACCTAAAACCTTAGAAAGCTGCTGCTAGTCACAATATAAACAATACACACCTTGATAAACCAATGGTCTGACTCCATTTAAGCAGCTTTTCTTTCAAATTTGCCCATTGCTCTCCTGCAACAGGAATCAATCTAGACTTTTTTTCTCTGATGCTGACATCTATGGAAACCATCCAGCTGGTGACTCTAGTTTGCAAGGCAAAAGAAGTCTCCGAACTACTCACCTGTAAATAAAATGCTTCCTGGGTTGCTTCTGCTTGTCTGACTGCAGTGCTCAGCGGAGGGAGAGGGTTGCTTTTCCCTCCTAGTTTCTTGACTGAAAGGTCCAGTGGAGGGAGATAAACAGGATTTGGGCCTGGGAAAGAATATGATGCATGTTTGGCTGGATTTTTAATTGGATGGGAGGGAGCAGTTGCCATAGTTGATGATGGTGCTGGTGCTTGTCTGGCCGATATTTTCACAGGTGGGAGATGCACACTGACTGTTGATGAAAGCTTCCCTGATGGTCTTAATGGTGGAAGCGAGAAATTGGCCATTGCATACTCATCTGTGAAGTCCTCCTAAGGATAAGAAGAAAAGTTATCTCTCTGTCTGTCTGTGTTTAATTCCTGTATCTTCTTCCCACTCATCTCCCTTGGAATTTTTGACAGTATTCACAACTAAAAACAAACCAGACAATAGAAAGAATATCTGACTCAGAAAAATAGACGTTGATTGATCTAGTAGACCTACTCTGCTCTGAGATTTTTGGAAAGGACATAATCCAGGAGCATTAGTATGCTGTCCGGAAGGAATGGTGTGCATATTCTTGTCCTACTCTGTTCATGTCACCGAAAATTAGAATTTCTCCCTCTTGAAAGTCCAGAAGTATTTGGGGAAAAAAATTCATAGAATTTTTCCTTTGCCTTATTTGGGGCATAAATTGGCCAGGGTACACCCCCCCTGGTCCCTGGGTCTATGTGGGACTGCTGCTGGACTTTGGCCCCTCTCAGGGTTGATCTCAGTCTTTGGCAGCTAGGAAGTTCTCCCACAGATCCCTGGCCTCCTTCAGCCCAAGCGGCTTCCAGCAGGCTACCCAGTGCCAGACCCAAGGAGGCAGGATCTGCAGCAACTGCTCCAGGGTGACCCAGTCCACAATGAACCCCCATCACCAATTGTGGACTGGAGCCAGCACGTGGTGGCATCCTTGAGGGCTGCAACTAACACCTACAGCCACCCTGCAAGCTGATACACCATAGTCCAAAGCTTCTGCCACTGGGTCTCAGGGGTGACTTCATATCAGTCAAGTATGGCTGCCTTCAGCTTGTCATAATCAGTGGCATGCCAGACAAGTGGCATCATCATGGGTTGGATCAAACCAGCATTTCCACTGGTGAAAAAGAGGGTTCTCCTTTGAAAACCAAAAAGGCTGGAGATGATAGGATTTACATAGACAAAAACCATGTGGGATCAGGGCTGTGATAAGGATAACGATTGGAAGGGATTGCTCCAATATCATATCTTGTTACAATGATCTCCAAAATTTAATTATACATCTGTAACATCCTTCAAACCATTTCATTGGGACCTCCAAATTCTAGTGTTACATGTATCAGGGGCAGGGGGGAACAGTCACACATAAACGTTTATGATCTCTTCACCACAGAACAAAGCAAGGCAAATAGTATGTTTCTATCTGTGTCTGATTGTCTTTTGATAGAACTCAAATGATATTATTTATGTTTTTCAATATAAATCAACCCCATGATTTTGCCAGCAAGTCTTGTGGCCATTTGAATTATCAAATGATACTCCAAAATATTCTGAACCTGAAAACATACTGGGGTTGGGAATGGTAGAATATAAAAACATAAGAAGAGCACTGGAGGATAATACCAGTGGTCCATCTAGTCCAGCATCCAGTTTGACACAGTGGCCAACCAGTTGCCCAGGAGAGCCAGCAAACAGGGCATAGAGACGAAGCTTTCCCATGATGTTGCCTGCTAGCACTAGGTTTTAGAGGTTTACTGCCTCTGAGGTTCCCTTTAGTCATGATGGCTAGCAGCCATTGATAGACCTATCATCAAATCTGACACTCTTTTAAAGCCATCTGTGCTTGCAACCATCACTACATCCACTGGCAGCAAATTCCACAATTTCCTATTATCTTTCATGTACCTATTACCCATCAACTTCACTGGGTGCCCTGAGTTTGGCTTTAAAATGTCACTCTATAAATCAAATTGCTCTTGAGGCCTCATGTAGAGTCATGTGTACACAGATTCACGGATCATATGTGAATGATTCAGACTTGTTCTTGAATTTGTGGATGTGTTCATGTCATTGTCATTTACAAAGGTTAGCTGATGTGCATTGGAACATACCAATTGTTACAAAATGAAAAGTACAATGGTAAATTGGAACTGGAACTTAGTTGTTTCCCACAGGGCTAGAATGAGACTACTTGGGCAACTGCATTGCTGGCTAACAGTAACATCAGAATTTTCTCAGGGGAATCTTTTTGTGTACAAGAGTATAATTCAAATATTAGAAGGGAAAAGAGGGACAAAAGTTATTTATTGCCTGAAGTCAATTAACATCTATGCTGTACTCGGTCTTGGCTATGGTCAATATATCAATTTTGCTTCCCTAAATAGCAAGCCAGATCCAAATGGTCGCCTGAGCCTTCCAGGCGTGTTGTGGGCAACTCTCTATTGTTATTGACAGTTGATGCACTCAACAACAAGGAATATGAACCAGGCAGCACATTTCTCTGGCCACCGTGCAGGGTGTGTGACATTGTGAATTTCTGTAATGGAAAGGTTAGGAACAAGTACTCATTTTAAAGTAGATTAACAGGGTTTGGCTTGTACATATACAAACAGGACTAAAAGCAGCACTGAACTAATATATTTTGTCGTTAAATGGTACTGTGTTCCTATTAGAAAGGGCAGTTTTGAAACTAGAGTACTACTTTATCACCTTAAACAGATCATTGTATTGCAATTTGGTTAAGCAGTGCTGTTTCATATATATATATCCCGCCTGTACATGGACTATGAAGAGGATGATGATGTCTCCTTTGCAAAATGGATGAGCAGTTTCTGGGGACACAATGTGCCAGATGAAAATGACAAAGCAAGTAGATCTTACAGGCAATGGCAGACAAGATCCTTGATGGAAAGGAGAGCCTCTCTTCCGGTAAGTCTGTAAGTAACGGAATGTGAAGAAAATGGAGAGATTTTTTTAAAATAAAGATTGTGTCACATGATGACAGGCACCACACAATTGCTGATTTAAAAAAATTAAGTACATAGCAAGGTATGAGTATGCAGTATCTTTCAGGATCAATAATGAATAGGTATTTTCCAGAACCAGAGCTAATAAAGTCTCAGTGAAGATATCTTGGAGCGCAAACAAAATTAAAATTGCTTATTACTAAATTACTCCATAGGACCCTGAATTGTTATTTTCATTACGAGATATCAGCATGTGCTTGATTTGTGTTTTATTTGTATATGTAAATCCAGAAACAGCAAGAGGTTTATTTATATATATATTTATGGAAAAAAACCTCTCATAAACTCTGGTCTAGCTGTGGTGAACAGTTAGTACATTTTTATCTATTAATAGACTGAAAATCATTAAGGTAAGCATTAAACAACTGGTTAATTGCATTGATTTGAAAAATGGACAGTGACTGAAGCAACTTGTTAACACTTTTGTCCAGGAACTCTAGAACTGTCTAATTTGCCTAGCCACTTCCATAAGAATTAATTCATGTAAGTGTTTTAGAGTAGTGAGATATAAATTACTAAGAGTTTTGAATCTATTCCATTGTGGGACCAGCTTGAACCTCACCACTCTACCCACTACTACCACCTTTCAGTCCAAGACAGATGGGTATTCCAAGAGCTTCCAGACAAATTCAGTATTGAGCAGGGTCACACATTACTTTTTACCAGGGGGAAGCAGAACAAGGAGGAGGAAAAGGCCAATGACATATTCAGAAATTGTCACACAATCAGGCCTTGTAGATATACAAGACAGAGCTCTCTACATGTTTACTGAGAAATAAGTCCTACTGAGTTCAATGGAACTTACAGGTAAACATAGAATTGCAGCCCTCAAATTGCAGCCCTTCTTCTGATTAAAACGTCTGTAGGCTATAAGATGTGTGGTTGAATAAGTACAGAGTCATCTTTAAAATACAATTATAATTTCAAATTTTCATTACTACCTACTAAAGTTACTCCTCTTTCCTTTCACATACCCAAATTCAGTTATTTACTTCTGCTTTGTTTGCCCTATATCCAAAACAGCAAACTGGTGTGTGCTTCCCTCTAACCAAGAATTTCCTTGGTTTACAATTCTGGTTTGGAGGGCAAAATGCAACTCAAAATTTGCCTGTTCAGATGTAAATGCAGTCTGTAGTTTGTGCTGAAGAAGTAGTTAACTGATTCATATCACACAGGGAGGGAGTACCTTGGAAGGACTACACCTTCACAAGTCTCAGTCACAGAAATCTTCCATTTTATAGGGTTTTCAACTCCAGGTTGGAAAATTCCTGGAGATTTGGGGGTGGAACCTGGGAAGGGCAAGGTTTAGGAAGGGAAGAGACCTGGGTATAAGACCATAGAGTCCACCCTCCAAGGCAGCCATTTTCTCCAGAGAAACTGATCTCTGTAGCCTGGAGATCAGTTGTAATTCTGGAAGATCTCCAGGCCCCACCTGGAGGTTACCAAACCTATACATTTATATGAACAATGTAATGTATGGCTGAGTAGATATCAGCTACAGCAATGTTTGCAATTTCCAGTTTTCTAAAATACATGTTTGAGGTCTCAAGAATGGTTGCAAGCATAATCAGTGAGCTATCAGCTACAACATGCTTAAACCTATGTAATTAAAGAGTTTCTAAAAAACCATAACAAAACAAAAAAACTTAGCAGAAATAGGCTGGAATTCTAAACACTATCACATTTGCAGATAAAACTAAACACCTTAGAAGACAGAAATAAAATTTAAAATGACTTTAGTAGGTTGGAAATCTGGACTGAAACTAATGAAACAAAATTCAACAGACAAATGCAAAGTTCTGCACTTAGGCAAAAATAATCCTTGGTACAGGATGGGAGATACCTGGCTTGGCAGTCCACATGAAAAGAATCAGAATCATAGAGTTGGAAGGGACCTCCAGGGTCATCTAGTCCAACCCCCTGCACAATGCAGGAAATTCACAAACACCTCCTCCTCCACACCCCCAGTGACCACTGTTCCATGCCCAGAAGATGACGAAAAACCTCCAGGATCTTCGGATTGTAGTCTATCACAAGATGAACATGTGTCAGCAGTGTAATGCACCTGCAAAAACGGCTACTATGATTATAAGCATTTTATGTGCTTCTGACAGGCTATTGATTTTACAAACATGGAAGTCTTGCTCTTTTAGGTATGACCTTTTATTGCCAGACTTATTTTTAGATTTTCATTTTAAAATATTTTGCTTCACTGATGGCTTTACCATTGACATTATAGTTGGGAAGAAGTGGTTTAACTATGAAGACCTGACTGTTCAAAGCAGATTGTCTGAATATAATGAATCCAAGAATGCAAGAAGAGCTATCATCCAGGATATGCCATTCTAGTGGCCTTAGCCCTACTTTCTTTGCTGATAGATCAAACCATTGTGTAAAATACTTTAAAGGAGCTATACATTTCAAGACACATTAGTTACTTAAATAACTATATAGGGATCAACAGACTGTACATTATGCATGAATGGAGAAGGAGCACAGTGTAGAAACAAGAGGAAATGGAAATGTGATGCAATGCCACAACCACGTTCAACGTTTCGGAACAATCATTTACTATATTGCTGTTCTGTGCCGAAAACTATACTTTCTTTTCGGTACTCTTTGTATTTTTTAATGTGTGCGTGCATGCGTATGCACACACTTGGAAGTCATGGTGACCTGTAGAAACAAGAGGAAATGGAAATGTGATGCAAAGCCACAACCATGTTCAACGTTTCGGAACAATCACTTACTATATTGCTGTTCTGTGCTGAAAACTATACTTTTCGGTACTTTTTGTATTTTTTAATGTGTGTGTGCATGCATATGCACACACTTGGAAGTCATGGTGACCTCTGGTGCCTGACTGTGTGTACAGCTGGAAGTCATGGCAACCTCTGGTGACTGACCCCTACTGAGGGCCTGGAGGATATTCAGAGAGGTGGCTGAATAAAGCCTGCCCCTGCCTCCCACCTCTGGTATTTCAAGGAGGTCTCCCATCCAAATACTTGCCAGAGTCAACTCTGTTTAGCTTCTGAGAACGGGCTTTCCTAGGCTATCCAAGTCAGGCCAATAACTATACTTTTCTTGACTCTTTTATCCTGACTTTCAATGTGATTAATCTTTGCCTGTTCTACTCCATTTACTGTTCCCATGGCTTTCCTCAGCCTCTTTCATTCCCTCTCTTCACACACTTCCCTCACTCCACTACAACATTCCTTGGTCCTTTTAATGTGAGAATTTAACTACAAGGCAGCCACACTGAAAAAAAATGAAAGCAAATTTTAAAAGGAAACTGCTGAACTGCTTTGAAATAAGCATTCAAATATTGATAATCCCTTGTCTGTGACCTCTTCATTTTAGCAATAAAATATTCCTTTCATGTAACAAATGGAGTTATAGATGCATTAAGAATAAGCAAGGGTCTTATGGCACCTTCAACACTAACCATTTTTTCTAACCTCTTTAAGTAACTAAAAGCCCAACTTTCTGCTAAGAGGGTTAAGTGTAATATATTTGGGGGCATATTTCCATACTCAAGTAACACTAGCCAGAGATCTAGATGTTGTAGTATCAACCAGAGATCTAGATGTTGTTGAGGCATTGTAATAATGTAGTTTTATGTATGCTTGCATGTGACTGTGTCATAGGTGGGATAGGTTACAAGGAAACTTATGAAGAATCTTGATTTTGTGACAGATTTCATGACAGATGAATGTTCTTTTTATGTTTATTGAATACATTTTTTTTGCAGGCTAAACTTTCTTCCATCCACATGACAAGATTTCAGGCTTCTACCAGGATCCCATCACCAAGCCATCTGAGGGATTGCAAAGAAATGCGAGAAGACCAAGATTCAGAAGATACAAAATGGCACTGTCATGCAAAGGCATGCAAGAAGTCCTCAAATGGCAATTCTCCCCAGGGAACAAGTGGACCAAACAGTCGCTCAAATTCCATCCTGGAGTTTTCAGAATCTTTTGAGAGGCAGCTGCATTTCAAAAACAAGCGCTCAGTTTCTTTGGTAGGTGACAGCTATTTTAAGTGGCCGAAAGCTTTAAAAGAAAGTCACATCCCCCACACTAATCGGATTGAACTGTATACACTAATCTGATTAAATTTAATAGTTCTGGCTTTAATTAACTTCTCTTGAATAATGCTGGCTTGAAGTGAAGAAGTTGGACTGAGTCTGAAAAATGCTTAGTCAAACTCCCTTATGGATAGCAAGACAAAATAATTAGTTCATCTAAATAAGCCATAGCAACTTCATTGCAATGGCTCCTTAACCACTTTAGGTTATTTTCTCTGTTATTTGATAACGCATTTCAGTTGCTTAAAAAGGCCCTTTTCTATAAATATCTAATGACAGTTGTTTCATCTTACTTCTATCTTACTGTATACTTAATGAATATGAAAGATATTGTCCCTCAAATCAAATACCCCCAAAATCCAAGTTTCAGGTTGGTAGCTGTTAGTCTACTAGTAGAGCAAAATGTGATTCCAGTAGCACCTTAAAGACTCGCAAAATATCCCAGGGTTTAAGGTTTTGTGACTCAAGCTGACTTTGTCTGATACAAATCAAGATTCATTAGCCCTTATATTCAGGTCAGAAGATGAGAGCAGTATTACAAAGAAGGGCCAGTTGGAGTGAGGATGGAGAGGTACAGTACAAAATGTAATCAGGTAATCAGCTTGTTTAGAGCTAAGAGAGACACATAGATAGAGTTATGTATTTCCCACCTCTATGCGTATCTCCCAGTTCTAATTAAATTGATCACATTTTGCATTGTTCCTGGCCTGTAGCCAGGATTTTGTGGCTTGCGGAGCAAAAATTTCTATGGTGGGGCTGATATTATTTTTATGTCAGCTCCAATCTTCCCCAAAGCCCAACCACCAGCAGCCACCTCCTCCCTCCCCTCCTGCAAGATTTAAAGGGCCCTTCAGCTGATTGGCAGAGAGCTGGAGAGCCCTTTAAATCTTGCAGGAGGGAGGGAGAGGGGTGTATGCCATCCCCTGCTTCTTCTCAAAAGCATTTAAAAGGATCCTTTAAATGCTTTTGAGAAGAAGTGGGGGGTCTGTGCATGCAGCCCCCCATTCTTCTCAAAAAATCTTGTGGGGCTGGCCCTTTAAGGAAGGGGGCAGAGTCCCCAATAGCCCCACTGTAGCTATGGCCAGCATTGTACCTTTGCATCCTGACTCCAACTAGACCTTCTTTGTTACACCACTTCCTCCTTCTGACCTGATGGACTTTCATGCCTATTTATATCTGACAATGTGAGTCTTGACAAACAAAAGCTTCTACCTTGGGAAAAACGATTGCACTTTTTGTATTTTTCATATGTGCATGTGTGTGTGCATGCACCTGGAAGTCATGGTGACCTCTGGTGACTGACCACTGCTGAGGGCCTGGAGGATATTCGGAGAGGTGGTTGAATAAGGCCTGCTCTCGTCTCCCAACTGCTGGTATTCCGAGGAGATCCAAGTACTTGCCGGAGTTGACCCTGCTTAGCTTCCGAGATCTGATGAGATTGGGCTTGCCTGGGCTATCCAGGTCGAGGTAGCTTGGAAAATTTTGTGGATCTTTAAGGAGCTCCTGGACTCAAAAAATCCACAAAAACCCAAGAGTCCAAACAAAGCAGATTTGTCAGTCAGTGGGCTGCGGTTGCAACCCGTTAAATAATATTGCTCAAGTCTTTGCAGGCCCTTCCCAATAGAACTCCCTATCAAATCTATGGCAAGCCTCCAGCAAACTGAACTTGAGTTTGAAGAAGTTCTCATAGAAGTCACTAGCTGCTAGAGATGTATAGTCTTCTGCCAGCGAGTAATGATTTTTTTGTTTCATCTGGCATTCCCTCAGTGATCTTCCCACCCTATGTTTTGTTTTTGTGTATGTGTTTTTGCATAAGTATAGTAGTTCGGGTTTTAATTGATTTTAGGTTTTTTTTATAATGCTTTGTTTTTAATTGTTATCTGTCTTGTTGGCCCTGATTGGGCAGAATAGTGGGATATGAATTTTGTAACCAAAAAGCCCACCCAAAAACCTCCCCTCAGTGTTTTTTTTTTCTTTCCAGAACAGGTTTTGTGTACTTTAAAATGCCACAAATTGTCACAATCTGGAGACCAATCATCCACTTCTCAAGGCACTAAAAAGATCAAGATGGGTAGCTGTATTAGTCAATCTGTACAAGTAGAAAAGAGTAAGAGTCCAGCAGCAACTTAAAGACTAACAAAATTTGTGGTAGGGTATGGGCTTTTGTGAGTCATTGCTCACTTTTTCAGATACAGCTAGAATGTGAGTCCATCTGTCCTTTATATTGGAAAGTGGAGTGATTGTAGATGCCAAATGACATTATCAGGCAAATGACAATAGCAGGTGTGATTGGATTAGGTGTGATATGCAGAGAGGTAGGCATCAAGCTAATATATAGCTAATAAATGTCACTTTTGTGTTTGCTGAGGTCTTCAGTTCCAACATACTGCCTTCTTCTCAAGAAGAAGGTGCTATACAGTCATACTATTGGCTCATCTAGCCTAGTACTGATGGACAGCAGGTTTTTAACATCTCAGGCAAGGTCCTTCCCAACATTTTTTCCTGAGATCCTTTAGTGATAGACACCCAGGATTGAAACAGGGAGCTACTGCAAACAAAACACAGCCCCTCCATATCAATGTGATTTGATATGGATGGAAGTTTTGCTGAAATATCAGCGCTTCCTTTTCCTCAGGCCTTTCATGAAGTGACCAACCCTCTTAGACATACTGGAAAACAAGGTTATAGGAAACACCAAATTTAGGTTGACTGATTAATTTGATTCAATCTCAATAAGACTGAAGTAAAGTAAACTGCATTGTTGTTGCTGTTGTTGTTATTTTGCTGGGGTAAGTTAGAGCACTTGTTATTATGGATGGTGCTGGCATTCAATTTTAATTTTCATCTTAATTTTTATTTCAGGAACCTGAAGGGATGAAACAGAGGCGGGAGAGAGAGAAACTGCGTAGTCACAAGAGCAGGTCTCATAAGAAAATGGGAGAAAAGAAGGAACCGAAGAATGAACAAGTAGTAGGAAAAATTAGTGTGGAAGTTCCAGCTGAAAAACATAGTTAATAATTGCCATCACATAAAGGCATAAAGAGAGGTGTTTTACATCAATTATAGATTTACTTTTATATTCAAACAGATTATAAAATAAGGTTTTTATTCTATAAAATAACCAATGCTAGTTAGAGTAGAATAGAGTAGAGTAGAGTAGAGTATTTTTAGTGGCTGTAGCCACTAAAATAAAAATAATTTTCATTACTCCTTTAAAATGGCTCATATTGGTGTATTAAACTTTTTATCATTAAATATGGGATATTAGATTTGATCAAAAGCAAAATGAGCAATTAATCACATATAGCTTCTGAATATGATAGATACGTGTGCTCATTTATAAAAGAGAATATACAGTTTTGCAAAGCCACGTGAAAATAGCTTGTGTTAAAACTGGAAGCTTAGTTTAGCTTGGTAGCCAGCTTTTGAAAGAGAAAAACAGCAGCAACAACCATACAGGTAATTGCTGCAGAATTCTGAATGATCCTTGCATAGTCTCACAGATAACAAAACAGTAGAACACATACACACAGAAAATGTTGCTATGCAAACAAACTGGCTATTTCTTTGGATATACTATGTTAATTCATAGGGCTCTCCCCCCCACCCCCGCCTGCATCACACAGTTGACTGGGTTATCTATGTATTTTCAGTATTACCCCAAATCCGTAGGGCTCGCCCCCCCCTGCATCGGGTTGTCTATGTATTTTCAGTATTACCCCAAATCTAATTGGAGGCTGGGAGGGTGGGGTAGAAATCCGATAAATAAATAAATAAATTCTGCCAATTTAAGTGGCTCTTATTCAAACAGAAGAGCCACTTAAGTTGGAGGAAGGCTTCTTAGATTGCAGGAAGTCTTCAAACTTGAGCAAAAAGGAAAGGAAGGGTCTAAATATTTCAATATATGAATAAACTTTGCTTCCGTGGAGGGGTAGGGTAGGATCCCCTCCCATCTCTTATTCTGTCACACCACCTGCTATGGTTGCATTATTTCATTCTCCTCTCTGTGTTCTTGTTCCTTTTCTTGTAGCTAATTTTCTCTCTTTCTCAGAACTACTCCACTTTTCTACTGTTATTCATCTCTTTCACTACCTTATCCCTTCCTCTCCCACTAATCCTTTTCCAGAATGCATATGTTCTCAGGCCTAAATTACATGGCATCTGTATCTGTAAACATAGGTCCACCTATAGTACCTCTTGTAGCCATTCCCTTCAGGCACTGCTCTCTTGTTCCCAATTAATACATCAGTGGGCTCTCATGAGACTACCACGGTTTGAGCCTCAATGATCACTCACTGATTTCTCTTCTTACCTTTTCAGTATGGTGTTATAAGCTAAAGATGTTTTCCATCATTGTAGAAGATCATGGCTCTAACTCCACTATGAAACCAGAGTACTGATTCCCATTCAGGGAAGAAGGTCTTTACTTCACCCTTGACCATCATATTAGTTATACATTCAAGCAGGGCTTTTCTTTTTAGAAAAAGCCCAGCAGGAACTCATTAGCATAATAGGCCACACCCAACAGCAGAAACCCATTAGCATATTAGGCCACACCCCTGACAACACAACTCATTGGCATATTAAGCCACACCCCCATGTTACCAGAAGTGTGGTCATCCAGCCACACCTACCTTTTGCTTCTTATTCTGTTTACCTTGTTTGTTGTCAAAACCCAGGGCTTTTTTGTAGCAGGAACTCCTTTGCACGTTAGGCCACACACCCCTAATGTAGCCAGTCCTAATGAGTTTCTGCTTTTGGGTGTGGCCTATTATGCTAATGAGTTCCTGCTGGGTGTGGCCAACTTGGAAGCCAGCCGGAACTCCGTTCCTGTGCGTTCCTGCCCAAAAATAGCCCTGCATTCATGTTCTGTGATAAAAGCTCAGCCAACTAGATTCTCAACAGGAGCTGGCAATCAGTCATAGAGCAGAAGGAGGACCAGTAATGAGACCGTGTGAAAGTCCCAATGGTGCTTCTCCATTATTTCATTCTTGCATTTGTCATTTTTAAATATATTTTATATTAAAGTAGGAACACAGCACAATTACCTTTCACTGATCATTTTTTCAAAAAAACTTTATTTTACTTTGTAAGATAATTATTAAAACAAACACAATATTTTTGTTTTGAAGAGTGATAAAGCGATAAATTCCTAAGTAAAGCATTTTGGTAACAGCCGTGTATGATATTTTCTCACTTATATGATATATTTCAAGTTTAATAAATATCAGTTTAAAAATTAAATATGCTGAATCTAATTCCAGTTGTCATGGTGGATTATTTTAATTAAAATGGATTTTAGTAAAAGGTTTTCAGAGGAGTTTTAGTTAGTAATACCCCAATCTGAAGCACCTTTACCTGAAAGTTTATTTCAAGTGAACACAATCAGTAGTGTAGAGGAAGCGCAGAGGTTTGAATGATAAATCTATTGATTATTTGTTCCATTAATCCCATTCCATTAATATTTTTGAGAAAAAGCATTTGAGGCTCCCGGCTCCCTGAACTAAAATTTGCAAGAAGGTATAACAGGTCCAGTTTCCATCACGATTAATGAGCTGGCAAGAAGCCCAGTAAAGGAATTTGATAATTAGCTGAAGAAGATGCTTTATTTTTAGCGAAATGTCGAGATGGGGCTGGTAAAATTTACTGAGCAGAGATACGGCTGCAACTCTCTGCAACAGAGATTTGAGTTTAGCAAACCCCATTGTTATTTGTTGAATACTTTCAAAAGTTAAATACAACTTTTAATATTTTGTTTATAGCTGAGAAAAACTGTTGTTTAAAGATGGTATGGATCTTTCATATTTCTAAATGTTTGTGAAAAAGAAAGCTAGCTAAATTCTTTACTAAAGCAAGAATATCTGTTATATTTCTAATAAGAAGACTTGCCTATTAGCCAAAGACTATGACAGGTTTATTGATGCACAGCTGTGAAACAAGGATTGAAACAGCTACAATAAGCATTATTTTAAGTAAAGGTAATCTTTATTCTTTGCTCAACTATAAGCGCAAGACTGAAAAATAGTCAAGATGTTTCCAACATAAATTAATGAGCATATGTTAATTATTAGAGATATCTTTATCAATATAAAATATTTTAATGAAGAACAAATCATAAGGATTTTTGACAATCCAGTTTTAATTAGAGTAGCAGAATTTATATTTTCTATACAAGAGGGCTCTCAAGTGGCCATTAGAAGTATGGAGTTTGATTCATGCGACAATTCTGGCAGCTAGATTTAAGTAATGGCCCAAGTCATACATCAGGACCAAGCTGGCTTCCTTCCCAAAAGACAGATAAAGAAGAATATAAGAATTATAATTAATGTTATCGAGTATTATGAATATCAACCAGACAAGAAACTTGCCCTGGTATTCCTTGATGCGGAAAAAGCTTTTGATGATGTCAGTTGGGAGTTTTTGAAGCAGAAGTTGAAGTTATGGGATTGCGGACAACAATTTTTCAGCATGATAGAGGCAATATATAAAGAACACTGGGCGAAAATAATAATAAATGGAGAACTCACGCAGAATATACCTATAGAAAAGGGAACTAGACAAGGTTGCCCGCTCTCCCCATTGCTTTTTATATTTGGGATGGAGACACTGAATGACATAATAAGAGAATCCAAAGAGATTGGGGGCCTTAAAATTTAAAAAGAGCATTTTAAATTACAAGTGTTTGCGGACGACTTGGTATATATTTTGGAAGATCCAATGACTTCACTAAAAGATCTCTTAAAGCAGATACAGGACTATGGAGCAGTGGCGGGATTAAAGATAAATATTAATAAAATAAAGATATTGACAAAAAATTATACCAAAGAAGATATAGAAGAAATACAAGTGAATACAAATATAGAAATAGTAACAAAAGTTAAATACCTAGGCATCAACAT